AGAACAGACTTGTGGACTCTGGGAGAAGGCGAGGGTGGGATGTTTCAAGAGAACAGCATCGAAACATGTATATTATCTAGGGTGAAACAGATCACCAGCCCAGGTTGGGTGCATGAGACAAGTGCTCGGGCCTGGTGCACTGGGAAGACCCAGAGGGATCGGGTGGAGAGGGAGGTGGGAGGGGGGACCGGGATGGGGAATACATGTAAATCCATGGCTAATTCATTTCAATGTATGACAAAAACCACTGCAATGATGTAATTAGCCTCCAACTAATAAAAATAAATGAAAAAAAATGAAAAAAAAAGAAAAATGTGGCAAAAGAAGTTAATACATTTTTTCAAAGAGGAAATGCAGATGATGACACAAAGTTAAGACTTTCTACCAAGCAGATACTGGGATGAAATGAAGACTAGTATATAGGTTGATACCACAGTATATATTAGCAATGTGCCAGTTCTTAAATTGGCTTTTGGAATCAAAGATTACCATGCTATTGTCAAGATGTTATAACAATATATATTACATATACTAATATAAGTACTATGTATTAAATATGTGATAATGCATAATGTTACACACATATAAAATATATACACAATAATATATGACATTGCATATATTTGTAATAATATATATTACATATACTTACATGGATTATTTTAGGAGTCAAATATTGTGTGATAAAAATTTAAAACAAAGTATTAAAATCAAAGTTTATACATGAATCAGCACATAAAAGCTCTCCTAATTAACTGACAAATTTATTTCTTCCCAGTTCACTTTATGCATATTCTCACTACATCTGTGACATTCACTATTTATTTTATTTAAATCTCACGCAATGATTTTAGAAAGTGTCAAGCACAAGGATATTAAAACCACGTATATAGCACTATTAAGGAAAACAAGGACATTATAGAGAACTGATGAATGCTGCTTTCTATATTTATCCCCAAATTGGTCAAAACCAAAACAAATAAAATTCAATCCATTTGATTTTCATTCATAAACAGAAAGAATAAAAGAAATGGGCTACCATAATTTAGTTCACTGCTTTATTCTATTGGTATATAATGAACAGTCAGTTTCTCTGTCATCATACTGTACTGCACAGATTAATCTTTCCTTAAAATGTTAGAAAACAGGAAAGATATCTTTTAAAATCTACCGATAAGCAAGGTTTGTTTTCTTTAAGAGCCTACCAGTATGCTAAATGCTTCTGAAGATAAATTAGTTACTTGTAACTAATGGTTACTACTGGTAAGAAAAAGAAGAGGGAGAAAGAACCTCCAATGGGTTAAGGACTATAGCATCTTCAACTGACACAAAGCCTTAGAACAAAGTAGCAAAGAAAAAAAGGCAGATGTAGACAAAGTTAAATTTTCAGGGGGAAATCACCAAAAGCTGGAAGAAGTAGTGAAAAAAACAATCTTTTTCTAAATGACCCATAAATCAATAAAAACAATAAATAACTCCAAATTTCTAAAGTATATTCTACAAAAGAAAAAAACGGATTTCTTTTCATCAAACAAGACAGCTCAGCAAGCAAAGATCTGAGGAATCTCAAAGACCTTTGTTACTCAAAAAGTTTATCTCATGTTGTCAAGGACAAACTGATATTATTCCTCAATTATATTTTGGAGCAAAACGACTTTATTTTTAATTTGCCCAGAATGCATATGTAAAACTGAAAGCTGAGTAGTAACACTGGGCAGTGAACTGCACAGAACAATGCTTGCTTGGTATTCATCCTGGGTCTTAAATAAATGTAGCCTGCCAAATGCAGCCCACTGGATTATTTCAACCTCATTATCCCATTTCTTTTTCTAGAACCTCTGTTCCATTTCCTCCTTCCTATCAGACACTTAGTTCACTGTTTTTAAAGCTCTTTGCCACAGGGGTAGGAAAGAAGGAAAAGTAAGACAAGAACATATTTATATTGCTAACTGAAGCAGCTTTGAACCGTTACTAGACATGGAAAAGATTGACCATGACAAAGTTTAAACTCTTAGGTTCTTACAGCCTGAGTGTCTCAAATGCTTTAGGATTTCAGCAGAGTGCGGAAGGGATCTTCATTCAACCCTTCAAAGGGGTGGCCTGGCTGTGGTGACGTCTCAACTCTTCTTAGATTGTGTTTTGGCAAGAGTGCCACTGAAGGGTCATGTTTGATATGGGCCTTCCAGAAATCCCATGGAAAGTGGAGAGGGGAGCAGATAAAGAGGGGAGATACTTTTAAGATGTCTGCACATCACAGTGAAGCTACCCAGACCAACCCCAAACAGCCCTGGAGGCTGCCCAGGCTGGGCCAAGGGAGAGAGAATGTGGACAACCTGAAATTATTTCCACCAAAGATATCTACTTAGGAATCTGCTACTGCTGCTAAGTCGCTTCAGTCGTGTCTGACTCTTTGTGACCCCATGGACTGTCAGGGGTCCTGTCCATGCGATTTCCCAGGCAAGAATACTGGAGCGGGTTGCCATGCCCTTCTCCAGGGCATCTTCCCAACCCAGGGATCGAACCAGAGTTCTCCTGCGTCTCTTGCATCGAAGATAGATTCTTTACCACTGAGCCACAGGGAAAGCCCAGTTAGGAATCTACTTAGATTAAAAAAAAAGAAAAAGACTTTCCACTGGAATCCTACATGGCTAAATTTTTCTGCCAAAATATCCTGCGGTAATAAGATGTAACAAGAACAAAGCAAAACTAAATTATGAAATCTAAATGCCACAAAAAGAATCTTACATCCTTTTAATCAATTTTACCCATTAACATTAGAGTGTGCTGGAACTCTATACACCTTCCTGTCTTCCTTCCATTCCACAGACTGTTGTACATCAAACGTCTTTTTCATATTAGCTGAGAAAATAATCAGTATGCTTTCTGTGATGAAAACCGCTTTTTGCTTGTAAGCTTTTTATTCCTTATGCAAAATTTACCCATGAAAACTAAGGAAAGAATACAGATCCAGATAAATAAAAGTGAATCAACTTCCTCTGCCCCATCTCTCACCACTGCAACAAACCATCACAGTCAACTGAAATAATTAACATTTTTTAAAAAGCCGCATAATATCCCCAAATATGAAGGTACTACAACTGAGACAACTATTCCTACACTGACTAGTATTTGTGTTATTTTGGTTGTCTTAGGCTTTTGTCACATCAAAAAAAAAAAAAAATACTCTGCCACTCAAGCACACAGAAGCACACATATACGTGAACACAGCCATCAGTACCCATTATACCGGCCCCATTTATGGCTATGTGACGGTCTCCCAAATAGGATTTTCAGAAGATTTGCAACAAGCTGTCATACTCCCCGCAGCAAAACAGGTAACACCTGGGAAATAGTCACAGAACATGCTATGCACTTAAAACAAAGTGCATATTATGCTATGCACATAAAGCAAAGTCCATCAACTTTTAGGTATCAATTTTACCTAAAATTTACCTAAATCAATTTACCTAAATTGATTCATTTAGAAAGGTTGCAATAATAAGGTATTTATACAGGAATCCCTGCAAGAATAAAGCCTATACTGGGGTTGATTTTAACTTACCTTTTTTTGACACTTCTGCCCCATTTAGTTCTTTCTGTGCTTCTTCAATTTTGTCTAAGAAAAACAAAAAAAGTATAAAATTAATTCATCATACACAAATAAGAAGACAACAAAACAAATATATTGCTTATAAATGGTACCTGACACATAGTAATAAATATTTGTTGAATGAATTATTTATGAAACAAACATGTTTAAACTGTTAAAGTAATAATAGAGTCCTTTTAAAATTATAATTTTAATTAAGTCTTAGTCATAAGGGCTACTTCCAATTGTTTCCACAATGCAAATAATTAGTGCATTTTAAAAACTGATCCATATTTTTAAATGTTTAACTCCCTATTCAAAGTACATAAAAATAATTCTTTTTTTATGAAGACACACAAATTTCACTGGTGAGTTTCAACAAATGCCAACTGGCTTAGAAATAAGTCTAAGCTAAGTTCATAGATGGCCTAAGACCTAAGTCAAATATGGAAGAAATAAAAGGATGAAAAATAAATGATGGGCTGAAGTGCAGCAACATGATACTTCTGCCAACCGTTGGTTACAGAATAACTACCCATGAAGTGTGTGGGTGGAATGCTGAATTAAAGAGGCACTGAACAAAAACTAAGGGCTTCCCCCGTGGCTCAGCAGTAAAGAATCCACCTGCAATGCAGGAGACTCGGTTCGATCCCTGGGTTGGGGAGATCCCCTGGAGGAGGGCATGGCAACCCACTCTAATACTCTTGCCTGGAGAATCCCATGGACAGAGGAGCCAGGCAAGTTATAGTCCATGGGGTCGCAAAAGAGCCAGACACAACTGAGCAACTGAAAAACAGCAACAAATATACAGCACTTCTGCAATCATCACTTTTAGATGAGCACAGTTCTGAAAGAAGCAACGGCTAAGAAAGAGCTGGGGCGGCTGCCTCCCAGAGCTGCAGCCCTCCCATCTGAGCTTTGAGCACAACTGGACTTGGTAAATAAGCACATGTTCTATGTTAGTAACAATTAATTTAAATTTCTATAGGGATATACATAGTTGAAGATTGACAGAAACCAATTCTAAGTTTAATACAGTGGTCTAAACACTAACTGGTAAAAGGTAACAAAATTCCTGGTGCTATTCTATACTGAAATGAATACCGTAACCATAATGATGTAACATTTCAGCTAGTCCACTGGAGCACAGTTTAAATGCTTTCAAAATATTGGTATTTCAGCCACTCATAACCTCCCAGTATCCACTATCAGCTCCCAATGGTCACTGATACTAACCATCATTGCTAGCCACGGAAGATGGCATCCTCCCCACCACAGGCCCTTCAACCTCCGCTGCCACCTGCCTCTTCCCCCGCCAGCCTTGCCAGAAAAGCCAGAAACTCAAAGCACATTCCATTCACTGAGCCAACTTCTTTCCATTGCATATTGATCCATCCAGCCTGCCTTATCAAGGCAGATGGGGAGCATGAGAATGAAAGAAACAAGTCATGGTTTATCACAACTCCATCTTCATCCCCACAGCAACGGCCTATGTGCTCCCTGCTGGTTATCAGATCCAGAGTAAGATTTGAGGGGAGAAGAGACAGTCTTTGGAAATAAGACAATTGTTTTCTCATTTGCAAGCTTTTAGTTATTTCTCATGAAATGATGAGTAAAACAAAACAGTAATGGGAAAAAAAAAAGCCCTTAATAAATGCAGAAAGTAGATTCTGTATTTAGCAGTACTTTTACTTCAAAAGGAGAATTCCAAATGTATGACTGAAATTTATATTAATATACATGACAAAAGCACAAGGCACACTTTTTCAAAAATAAATAATACTAAGTATATTGGAGAGTACATTGGAGATATTCAAAATGTAAATAAGTATTAAATACACAGTCTTTGAGAAACATAAAAATGAAAATCACTATTATTTCTATGCCAGCAGTTTGCCTAAACTTAAGAACCATAAATAACATATATGTATATATTGTACTGATATATATTCATAGCAGTAATGACTATGTGTAAGAGTTTGTGCATACATAATTTGATATTACATAATAAAACAACTTTTTATTAATAGGATTAACTGGGGCTCCAGGCAGCAAAAGCTCATGACTTAACACGTATTTAAAGAACAGTTTCTGTTTAGTATATTGAAGTTTGGCCACCTTCTATTTGTACTTTAACATGACAAATTCTTGCAAAATGACCTCAATTTACATCAGTAGATTTGGGGTATCTACTGTGTTAGGTATAGGCATTTACTTAAATGCCTTTACCTGGAGCTCTAATTCAATAGGTAATTACAATCTTCAAGGACAGAGTTTATAACAGTCATTATAAGCTCTTGCCTTACTTTTTAGAAAAAGTCCTGTTTATATTTAAACTCTGTTTTATGATTCTCCTGGTAAAATATGATGTTTTAAAGACATTCTCCATTTTGGACTCTGTGGGAGAAGGCGAGGGTGAGGTTTCAAGAGAACAGCATCGAAACATGTATATTATCTAGGGTGAAACAGATCACCAGCCCAGGTTGGATGCATGAGACAAGTGCTCGGGGCTGGTGCACTGGGAAGACCCAGAGGGATCGGGTGGAGAGGGAGGTGGGAGGGGGGGATCGGGATGGGGAATACATATAAATCCATGGCTGATTCATGTCAATGTAGGGCAAAAAACACTACAATACTGTAAAGTAATTAGCCTCCAACTAATAAAAATAAATGGAAAAAAAAATAAAAACATTTTAAGAGAAAAAATAAAATCGTTTAACCCATCCAAAAAAAAAGACTTGCTCCAAAGCTACAGAGAAAGTACTCATTTATTATATGCTCTTAATTGGTCCAGGTAAGACAATTTACTAGTATTTAAAAGCAACATTTATCATTTTTTTCACTATGACCCAGAGTAAGGAATGTATTTTTACATTCCAACCAATTACACATGTGTGTGTATATATATATTACGTGTATACATAATTCAGAAACCAACTTACCCATACACTAATTTCTGTCCTTTCCTATTAAAAATGAAAAATGCTGCCTTGCCCAGACGTGCTGGTTCACAGCCCCATGCTGGACAGCAAACCCAGGGCTTGAACCCACAGACAGAGAGCAGTTCTCAGCAAGGGCTGCACCCCCCAGCCAGGACACCTCTCGTCACAAGCCTTGATGGGTGGGGGGCACGTGTTGCTTAGAACAGGATCTCAGGTTCTCAGACACCTTCCATTATGCCTTCCCCAATGTCACTGTTACCCGAGCTCGTAATTTCATAAAAACTACACATTCAGAAATAAATAGTAGTTTTTCAGCTGCTTCAAAATAAAAACACATATATGTGCAAAATGGACATTCACACCATGTTGGTAAATCTAAAATAAATAACACATTCTTACTGTAATGAGTTCTTACTGTATTTAAATTAAGATGCAATTGTAATTAATTCAACTTTTACTAAATATGCTTGGAGTTGGTCACCTGGAAAAGGTACCAGCAACACACGAATGGATCCATAATTGTCCCTAAGATCCAGAGGGACCCATGGCTGAAAGAGTGACAGGCCTGGGGAGAGACTACTGACAGTGTAGGTTAAAGTTTGGTTCTGCAACTATTAAAAATGTGCACCTTTTGACAGTTTTTCTTTTCTGCTAAAGCAGAGAAACTCTTTGTTAATGGTACAGGCTATGAACAAGCTTGTTTAATGCCTTGTATATTTTAAAACTTTTGCTTGTATCAGAAAACAATGCAAAAATGTTTCACTTTCACCACAGGTAAATAACTGTAAATAAAGAAAAAAGAAAAAAACAACTTGTGAAACATAATCTGAAACCACTGAGCCAAAAAAAAACACACACACAAAAAAAAATTCCTGGAGCCCTTAGGAAACCACCGTTCTTTTGGGGTTCTGGGAAGAAGACTGGATCATTAAAAACAAATCATTTATAAAATAAAATAATCCTCAAATAAGGATTTGAAGTAAGTGCCTGCTCTCTGACCATTTTCACCCTCCGATGAAAGGGAGGGGGTCTCCGGTACCACCTCAGAGTCTCAGCACCACTCCTCAAAGAGCATGAGGGTCCAGGATGTCAGTTTTGGGGTCCAACCCACCAAACTGCTAGGATTTGGTTCAACGACAGTTGTGTGTTTTTACTGCGTTGATTGTCTACCTGCTTGCAGGTACACAAAGAAGAACTAGAAATACAAAGTGTAAAAGAAAAATGGCTCTGCATTACAATACCCTTTCCACAATCATTTTAGTATCAACTTGATGGTAAATACAAAACCCGATTCCCCGGCGCAGCAAACCAAGTTCTCCGCGGACCCACTCCCCCGTCCGCAGCCGCAGCCACACCCCTGCGTAGGTGCCCTCGGGTCCGAGACTCTTCCAGCTGCCGGCGCCCACCCCATCGCCTGGGGACGGCGGCTGGGAGGCAAACCCGCTGTGACGCCCCCCGCAGAGCCGCCGCCGCTGCGGGGAGGGTCCGTTTCTCCACTGCTCGTGTCTTGTGAGCGCTAGCAGCTACGACAGTGAGGGGGGCTGAGTGGCTTGCCCACGGTAGAAATGCTGACAGTAACGTGCAAGTGACGCGGGGAAGCACGGGTGCATCCGAGAAAGGGAAGAAGGAACAGCCGCCCACAAACTGAGCACTGGCCTTCGGTGGTTTCACCTAAGAACCTGGCGTTTTCTCTTCCTTAAGCTTAAAGATGATTTCTGCATTGGAGAAACTGCATCAGTGCCCTGAAAAGGGCACGTGAACCAGCTGTTCCTCACGCCTTCCGACCTAGTGAGGAGTGAAATGATCACCCCAATTCCAGCAGCGCTGACAAGCACCCCTGCTCTGACGCCCAGGGGCTCTCCTCCTTCACGCAGCCCTAAAGACGCCAAGTGGAAACACTAATAGATTTTTATGAGGCAGATCCTAAGGAACTGTAAAAGGCACCTCTGTTTACGGAGAGGGAGACCATCTGATTGAAAAAAGATCACCATATGTGACTGTACTATTTTTACTACTGAATAAGCCCAACTCCCACGTCCCGTCATCACACGTCAGCACCAGCTCCCTATTCTCACTGGTAACTGC